ACTATATAATTTGTTTACTTTAGTAATTTTTTCAGTAAAAAATAATTTAAATTTAGAAAAATAGTTAAAAAGATTAAATTTCAAGATTTTATATAGTTTGCAATTTTCTACCTTGTTTTAATAAAAATGTTTCAACTTGCATTTAACGATTTTACACTTTATTTTTTAATTTTTTTACTTAGCGAATTTTAGATAAAAAGCAAAAATTATGTAATTATCATAGCGAGAACATTTATTGAGAGGCACTTTTAATTTCTTATTTATTTACTTATCTGTTATCTCATATTTCAAATTTGTTGTTGTAAAAACTACAATGTGTCATGACAATAAAACACGGAATTAACATATTGTTTATATTTTTAAAAATAGTTAAAAACATTAAATTTTAAGATTTTATATAGTTTGCAATTTTCTACCTTGTTTTAATAAAAATGTTTCAGCTTGCATTTAACGATTTTCCACTTAATTTTTTTATTTTTTTACTTAGCGAATTTTAGCTAAAAAAGCAAAAATTATGTAATTCAGTCGTAATTCAGCAATTTTTCTACTAAAAATTGTTAGTCTTAGGGTTTACACTTTGTTCTTTGCAGTTTTAGTTATTATTTTATCTTCATACGCTGTAAAAACGACTACACCAGGAGTTCAACTAATGTGAAGATGTACATATAAAAAGACTTAAAAATACTCCTGAAATCCTGAAAGAAAAAAATTCTGCAAAAAACCCTACTGTTGCACAAGATTGAAAGTTTTATCAACTTGTAAAATTGAAAACTTATCAAGAACTGTAGCTGCGGCAAATTACATCTTAAATTGTCGATTTACATAAAAATTACAAAAAAAAAACGAAAAAAATTTGTTGATAACTATTTGTTATCATTGCATTGAACGTTGTTTTGGAACTTGGGAAAGAAGATTTCCATGTCTGTCATTGGGATTAAGAACGAAATTGTCTAATACATTAACTGCAGTTCTTCATAATATTGTCATTAATGAGAATGATTAAGCTGATAATTTTGAGGAAATATAGTATGGAGATGCAGAGGATGAAATAAACCAAAGGAAGAAACGCAGTTAGAAGGGCTCGTTTTATGCATATTATCTGTATTTTGCAAATTTTCGAAAAAAAAATTTACTCTCGAGATAGGTTGGAAATAGTGTTATTGCCTTTTTCTTTTCTAAAATCTGGAAATTTTTAATTTTTATTTAAAATATCACCAACGTTTCGATTGTCAAGGTGATTTGTGATGAATCATTTAGTAAACCTCACTTGTTTGCTCAGTTTTTAACATAATTATTATAGCGAGAAAATTCATTGAGAGGCACTTTTAATTTCTTATTTATTTACTTATCTGTTATCTCATATTTCAAATTTGTTTGGATTCTAATGTTAGATCCTCTTGTAAAAACTACAATGTGTCATGAAAATAAAACAGGGAATTAACATATTCTTTATATTTTTAACTTTGATTCTAAATATTATAATACAGTTTGATTTAGGCAAAAGCCAAAAATATCTTACATTATGTCTTTATAATAAGATTTGTACTGATGCTGATGAATACATGATGATAAAACGGGTGCCGGAAAGCCTTAAGCTCCTAACATTTTCTTGACAGTGTAGCCTGGTATAGAATAGAAGAATAACAAGATGATTATTGCTAAGCCAATGATGATAAAAAGTTTCAAAATAGTCCATTTATAATTGTGCCATACAATATAACGTATCGATTTCAGCGGATTCATAAACCACATGAACGACGAATCGGGTCGACTAAAAACAGGAAACAGTCACCAAATTTCAAACTTATCCAGAGACTCACTTTGGTTTTTCCAAAGGGTCCGGTTCGCTCCGTCCCAAACCCACCGGATTTTTATCGGCGTCCTCCCTGGATAGGAGGTGTATTTCCGCTTCGACTTTTCCGGTTAATTCCATTTCTTCGTTGTCTTTTTTTATGAAGAACGGCCACCAGCCTTTGACTCGTTTCTGTTTAAAAATATTTACAACGGGCACTGAACCGTCCGATTTCAACATGTCCAAAGTACACAGTTTGGAGGATTTCGCACCGCGGGGAAAGCGGTTCAAGTCCAGCGTGATGGCCCCTGGAACACCAAGAAAAAGTTAACGAATTACACAAACAGAAAAATGTGCGATAATTTATTTTTCCTTGGAAATACGTAAGAGTTTGCAAGGTGGAGCAGAAATTTAACAAACAAATAAACAAATTATTAGAGAAAAAAAATTCTATTATTTTGTTAATTTTTAACTAAAATAGGATTAAATTTTCACGACAAAAAACCGTGTCAGAGTAATTCGGTTTGGTTCGGTCTAAAAATAAAAAAAATAGCCAGTTTCAAGTGGATTGATCTAGAAAACCGGTTTTACACGAATTTTAGTAGTTTGTTGTTCAATTTTGAAATTATGTTACCCAGGGTTTTCGCGGATTACGATAAATAAGCCGAGAAATCATAAATTTATTCATAAATACGTTTTTGTACAAAAATCTTAAGTTTTTGTGCAAGATTTTGCTAAAACAAACTAAAAAATCAACAAATTAAATCGAAAATTGCATTTCTCAAGCCTTTTAGCACGTTTTTCAGCTAGAAACGCAATTATTATGCAAAATCTTCTTTAAAAAAATCGAAAAACCGCCACATAAATATATTTGTTTTTTTTTAATCTTCTAAATTCGATTGAAAATAA